CTTATAAAACCAGTCCCATGATGCCTGCTAACTGCTACCTGCTAGCTCCAGACCGAGCTAACAGAGCTAAATTATTTCCATTGTTCCCATTAGAAACTATCACAGAAATTAAGAATCAATTATCTATATCCTCATTGATTTATCATTTATGCAAATCCTTTAATAAATAAATTTTACCAAATAACGTTTTATTTATTTACCTCTTGGATTTTCATTGTGATGGTTTGGACACATTCTAAGCGCTCTACGTTCATTTAAAAGATAATTGATCACATTAAAAACTAAACTTTGGTTCTCTGACATAAAATCTGTGCAGAACTGTGATGCATAGCAGCATTTTATTCATTATAGTTTAAACCATTTTTCATTTATTTTCATTTTATACATAGTAGCTTAGCTTAGTTTTAACTGGAATATGTTTGACTTGGAGCGAAATGATTTCTGTTAATAAATCCTTATAAGTTGAACAGAAGTTTATGTGAATTTTTTTCAATCTGTGTGCAGATTTATCCGTTTAGGTTTCGTTGAGCTCGAGTTTTATTTGTTGTACTAACACGCAGTCATTATGGTGTATGTTCACAGAAAGTCCAAAAGTTATAAAAATATAAGCTACATGAGCTCTCCATAACATATCTGCTGTCCCTGTCTAGGCATTGAAAAGTTATTGCATAACAGTCACCAATTCAACACAGCTGACTGGCTGATTGGCAGGCTGCTGCTTGAGCTGCAGGTAGCAGGTCAGTTCAGACCTGTAAGACCAGGGAAGATGGTATCGTTACAGGACTGCCGAGTCAGAGGGAGTTAGGGACTACAAAGATGGTGGTGGACTACATGGATGTGTTCTCAAGATGGCAAACCAATGGAAGAAGGATTTAGCGACTCAAAGCTGTCAACCTCATGGACTACGCTTACATTTTGATTGGAAAGAGAGAAAAGGTCAATTAGATCAAGCTTAGGTTGCCATGACACCCAAAGCAAAAAGCAGCAGGTACAGACAGCAGGCGCTCAGGGGTCGAAGGTCAGGTTGAACAGATGGTTTCTGAGTCTGGGGATCAGGCTCGGACTGGGAACCAGTTTCAGCCCTGGCATCCCCCCCAGTCAAACGCATGCGTCTCTAATATGAACCAATCTATCTTCAGGCATCACACGACAACCATCACCAAATCATCTAGAATGCGCTCACTGGACAGGAAATCCACAGATTCCGACCCAACATAGACGTCCTCATCAGTCGGCTTTGAGCCGGGACCGACCGCTCCAGTAAATTTCGCCCGTTGTAGCAGCGGGGACGTCGGGAGCACTAGCAGCAACGGTTGAAGCAATGGCCACAGCGAACAAACAATCTATTTTAAAACATCCAGCTTGGACAGCAGTCTGCTTTCTGACCCTGACCTCCTCCGCTGCCCCTTCCTTCTTTTTTCCATGATTTTTAGCCCATCCACTGAAATGAAAATATAACCGCAGCAACATCCGCAGCATCCGTATCCCCATGGACCAGCGCCCATCATCAGCAGGGTTCCACAGGTCACTGACTCACGTTTTACAGCCCAAAAAATGTTCATAAACCGCCTGGATATCTGAGATCTCACCCAATTTCAACCAAATCTATTGATCTCTTAGGCCATAAATCTAAAGATTTTTTACCCATTTTTTTTAATATCACATTTTTTTATATCAATTAATTTCTGTCTGATTTTCAGAGTGATTATAAAGAAACTAACTTTCAGGAATCTACTGATGTGTAGAACCGCCTGTTATAGATTCTACACCACCTTCAGCATAAAAAGGCCATGAAAAGATAAGGACAGATATTTTATTATTATTTCCTGTTTAAAAACAAACTGAAAATAAACCAGGAGAGTCTTGATTCTGCTCACATTTTTCTATAGAATAGAGTTTAAAGGTTGAATCTATTAGAAACTATAACTGCTCTGAGATTCATCCAACTGAACAACTTGGCCACATGGCAACAACTAATGTCTTTAATCAAGTAAATCTAGTTTGCAACTTTCAATTCTATTCAGTCTATTTCTATAGCTCCAATTCACATCATGTCATCTCAGGTCACTTTATAGATCCAGATCAACCAGATCATCCAGTCAGATTGATTCAAAGTTTTCTATCTAAGGAAAACCAGCTGATTGCATCGACTCATTGACTCTTCAGCAATCCCTCACACTAAGCATGCTTGTAGCGACAGTGGAGAGGAAAAACTCCCTTTGAACAGGAAGAAACCTCCAGCAGAACCAGGCTCAGTGTGAGCGGCCATCTGCTGAGACCGACTGGGGTTCAAGGAGACAGAAGCAGACATAGAAAAGCAGCTGCTGGATCTAAGCCAGAGGAAGTTGGGATTTGAAGTAGATATGGGAGGTAGATAGGGGGACCCTAACCCTGAACTCTGAACCTGACAAGGATTCTAGAAATGCTGCTGATCTCTGCTACAGCTGAAGCGTATGGAGGAAGCCGAGAGTCGTGGATCAAATCATGGTGATTGTCTTCATTCTGCAGCTGTTTGCATTCAATGTCATGATCTTAGTGCTGATGCTCATTTCATTCACCTGTCTAGCTCTGCCCTGCTCATCTGATCAACCTGCTCCTGCTTCTATTTAATCTCCTTGGTCTCAGCCTTCAGTACCAGATGATTCTTGAGCCTTTGGTGTGGAGATTCTCTGACTTTCTAACCTGTTCTGATTGTCTGATCCTGATCTGTTTCTGTATTTGGACCTTTGAGCCTACCTGCCTTTCTGATCTGTTTGCCTGGCCTGTCTCCGGTGGACTGAACCCGGATCTGCCTCTGGACTTCACCCTGTGGATTATCCTGCCTTCAGAGATGGGAAGTAACAAAGTACAAATACTTCGTTACTGTACTCAAGTAGATTTTTCTGATATTTTTACTTTACTTTACTACTTATCCTAGATCTAGTGTATTAGAAAGTGTGTCTGGAGTTCAAACCATGACCTGATTGCTAAAACACACCAAGCGCACAGACAGACCAGCATGGCTTATCAAAGGTTTGATCAATTAGTTTTATTCAATGGGAAAGTGATTCAAAACAAAACCTCATTTTGAGACTTTAGCAGCTGATGGAAAGAGAAATGAGGAATATAGATGTTTTTAAGAGTGAAAAGATAAAGAATAAACTGATTTAATTACATCATTTAAAAGGACATCTGAAGGTAGTAGAAAAAGGAAACATACAGTGGGGCAAAAAAGTCTTTAGTCAGCCACCAATAGTGCAAGTTCTCCCACTTAAAAAGATGAGAGAGGCCGGTAATTTTCATCATAGATATACCTCAACTATGAGAGATGAAATGAGAAAAAAAAATCCAGAAAATCACATTGTCTGATTTTTAAAGATTTTATTTGCAAAATATGGTGGAAAATAAGTATTTGGTCAGTTACAAACAAGCAGGATTTCTGGCCTTCACAGACCTGTAACTTCTTCTGTAAGAGGCTCCTCTGTCCTCCACTCGTTACCTTCATTAATGGCACCTGTTTGAACCCGTTATCAGTATAAAAGACACCTGTCCACAACCTCAAACAGTCACACTCTAAACTCCACCATGGCCAAAACTAGAGAGCTGTCAAAGGACACCCGGAACTAAATGATAGACCTGCACCAGGCTGGGAAGTCTGAATCTGCAATAGGTAAACAGCTTGGTGTGAAGAAATCAACTGTGGGATCAGTTATTAGAAAATGGAAAACATACAAGACCACTGATAATCTTCCTCGATCTGGGGCTCCACGCAAGATCTCACCCTGTGGGGTCAAAATGATCACAAGAACGGTGAGTAAAAATCCCAGAACCACACGGGGGGACCTAGTGAATGACCTGCAGAGAGCTGGGACCAAAGTAACAAAGGCTACCATCAGTAACACACTACGCCGCCAGGGACTCAAATCCTGCAGTGCCAGACGTGTCCCCCTGCTTAAGCCAGGACATGTCAAGGCCCGTCTCAAGTTTGCTAGAGAGCATTTGGATGATCCAGACGATGACTGGGAGAATATCATGTGGTCAGATGAAACCAAAATAGAACCTTTTGGTAAAACCTCTACTCGTCGTGTTTGGAGGAGAGAGAATGCTGAGTTGCATCCAAAGAACACCATACCTACAGTGAAGCATGGGGGTGGAAACATCATGCTTGGGGCTGTTTTTCTGCTAAGGGACCAGGACGACTGATCCGTGTGAAGGAAAGAATGAATGGGGCCATGTATCGTCACATTTTGAGTGAAAACCTCCTTCCATCAGCAAGGGCATTGAAGATGAAACGTGGCTGGGTCTTTCAGCATGACGATGATCCCAAACACACCGCCCGGGTAACGAAGGAGCGGCTTCGTAAGAAGCATTTCAAGGTCCTGGAGTGGCCTAGCCAGTCTCCAGATCTCAACCCCATAGAAAATCTTTGGAGGGAGTTGAAAGTCCGTGTTGCCCAGCGACAGCCCCAGAACATCACTGCTCTAGAGGAGATCTGCATGGAGGAATGGGCCAAAATACCAGCAACAGTGTATGAAAACCTTGTGAAGACTTACAGAAAACATTTGATCTCTGTCATTGCCAACAAAGGGTATATAACAAAGTATTGAGATGAACTTTTGTTATTGACCAAATACTTATTTTCCACCATATTTTGCAAATAAATTCTTTAAAAATCAGACAATGTGATTTTCTGGATTTTTTTTTCTCATTTCATCTCTCATAGTTGAGGTATATCTATGATGAAAATTACCGGCCTCTCTCATCTTTTTAAGTGGGAGAACTTGCACTATTGGTGGCTGACTAAATACTTTTTTGCCCCACTGTATTTAATTAATAGGAATTAAAAGTGAATTTAATCAACTGTAGAAATGGAGGCTGTTTTATGGCGGATTTATTTGGAGTGAAATGAAGTTTGCTGCTGCAGGTTTGGCAGGTCAGGTTTCTCCATCCAGGTGAAGTGAGCAGGTTTGTTCTGCTGTTTGCTGCTGAGGTTGCATAAGAAGCAGCGGATCTGCACAGCGCCTCTACCGTCGCCCTCCCCTCCTGCCTCTGCTTAAAGGAGGCAGTGCTGCTCCGCTCCGCTCCCACAACCGGCCGCTCTGTGATGGACCGCTGACCCACCGACACCAGCTCCTGCCTCGCATCCAGGACCCTCCATCCGGGCCGGGGGGGCCCCGCGCTGCAGGATCTCCTCCTGATTTGGGATCTTCGTGCTTCTATGGGACCCGGAGGCGCATCTGCTGCTCAGCGACTGGACGCCGGAGCGCCGCTCCGATTCTTCTCCGTCTGCCGGATCTGAGGCGCAGCTTCGGGAGGAAACGGGATTAAAGGCCAGAAGCGGCGCGCGACCATGGATTAACGCCCTAGAGAATCCTCATCTGCAAGGTATGATCATCCCAGGGATGCTAGGGAGCCCAGGGCCGCAGCAAGGATGGAGCGGGGGGGGGATGGGGTGGGGGGGACAGCAGCAGCATCCACTGCGGCCCCCACCGGCCCGCACAGCAGCAGGCCGGTGGGGGCCCCGCTTTGGGCCCCTTTGTGTGGCTGCGGGGTTCGGGCCCTTGGATCGCTGCTGATCAGCCGCATCGAGCTGCGTGTTATTAACAAACACCATGACGTCAGCGTCTGCCAGTGACGCCATCCTTCCCTCAGCCACCTTGTTTTTCAGAGGCTGGATGCTCGGTTTGAGCGTTAAGCTCCTGGGGGCCTCTGGGGGCCTCTGGTTCTCCCCTCTTTTCATTCTTTAGCTTGAAATCATCTGATTTGTCTGAAACTGGAGAAACTGGGAGGAAGTGAAGCAAACAGCAGCTTCACTAGAGACACTTTTATGCTTATTTAGAAAAATAAGGAGCTTATTTTTCATTATCTCATTCATTCATTTATAAAAATCAAAGTTCCAAACTAAATATTTAGATATTCAGTTAACAAAGTATCAGCAAGATAAATATTTATTTTACAAACAAAATATTTATTATTTTAAGTTCATATTATTTCCAAATTAAATACTTAGTTTGTTAAATAAATATTCAATTCAATTCAATTCAGTTTATTTCTATAGCGCCAAATTCACAACACAAGTCATCTCAAGGCACTTTACAGTTCTACCAGATCATCCAGTCAAACTGATTCAATCTAAGGAAAACCAGTTGATTGAATTGACTCATTGACTCAAATACAATCCCTCACACTAAGCATGCTTGTAGCGACAGTGGAGAGGAAAAACTCCCTTTGAACAGGAAGAAACCTCCAGGAAACACACAGCCAGGCAGACGAGCTCCGAGCCAGCTCCCATGTCAGAGGATGAAGAGAGCACATCCAGTTAGTCACAGTCAGAGAAACAGGACCACACTGGAAAACAGGCCAAGCTCCAGCATCTAGAAACAAAGGTGTTGATGGCAGCAGCACAGCTGATATTTCTCTCCAGGATGGAGTCACAGCCAAACAGGAACAGACCAGATGAAGCTACTATGAGAAAAAGCAGAGAGAGCAGAACGTTAGAGATTGAACTAATGTTTAGTTTGTAAATAACTCTAAATATTTGATTTGCAAATGAAATAGCGGATCCGTAGCATCAGCAGATATTTATCAAGATCTTCATAAATCATATAATTATGCTACTAAAATAATTTCCTCACTAAATGACGCTAAAACACATCTTTAATAATTTTTTAATAATTTTTCTTTGATGATTAGATGCTTTTTTAAACATTTTTCTCAGTTTAACAGCTGGTCTGACGTCATCATCAGCCACGCTCAGAGCAGGATATGATGGCGGCGGACCAAGATGGCAGCCAGCGCACGCGCTTGGCTGTGAGCTGCTCTGAGTGTTAGGAACCATTTACCTTAAAAACCACAGATAACCTAACGGTGCTTCACTTTCAAGAACTACTATGTCAAAGAAAAAGTCTAGTCTGTTGTTGATTCTAGGATTGTTTTTCTGTGCTTACCGCTTCCTCTTATCCTGGGCTAGCTAGCCAAACACTAATAGAGACAAAATGACAAAACAGAATAAAAAAAAGGCACATTTTGATTGACAGGAACGGTGGTTCCCCACCTATGCTCCCCTTTACCTGATACTCATCTTTAGAGTCCTGCTTCTAAGGAAGCATCCTGGAAAGACCAGGAGGCTAACCAGCAGGTCCAAGTCTCTGGAGATCAGCCGTAACGCCAAAGAGATGATAGTTATCAAAGACAACAGGTATAGAACGCATAGCGACGACAAGTCCTGACAAATCAAAAAACGGTGAAACACCAGAACAGCGAACAAGATGAAAATACTATAGAAGCAGAGCGTTAGAGCCGACCCTGGAATCTAAAGCTTTTTAACTGACTGGAATCCTCCAACGAGTCCGTAGATCTATAGAAGCAGAGCGTTAGAGCCGACCCTGGAATCTAAAGCTTTTTAACTGACTGGAATCCTCCAACGAGTCCGTAGATCTATAGAAGCAGAGCGTTAGAGCCGACCCTGGAATCTAAAGCTTTTTAACTGACTGGAATCCTCCAACGAGTCCGTAGATCTATAGAAGCAGAGCGTTAGAGCCGACCCTGGAATCTAAAGCTTTTTAACTGACTGGAATCCTCCAACGAGTCCGTAGATCTATAGAAGCAGAGCGTTAGAGCCGACCCTGGAATCTAAAGCTTTTTAACTGACTGGAATCCTCCAACGAGTCCGTAGATCTATAGAAGCAGAGCGTTAGAGCCGACCCTGGAATCTAAAGCTTTTTAACTGACTGGAATCCTCCAACGAGTCCGTAGATCTATAGAAGCAGAGCGTTAGAGCCGACCCTGGAATCTAAAGCTTTTTAACTGACTGGAATCCTCCAACGAGTCCGTAGATCTATAGAAGCAGAGCGTTAGAGCCGACCCTGGAATCTAAAGCTTTTTAACTGACTGGAATCCTCCAACGAGTCCGTAGATCTATAGAAGCAGAGCGTTAGAGCCGACCCTGGAATCTAAAGCTTTTTAACTGACTGGAATCCTCCAACGAGTCCGTAGATCTATAGAAGCAGAGCGTTAGAGCCGACCCTGGAATCTAAAGCTTTTTAACTGACTGGAATCCTCCAACGAGTCCGTAGATCTATAGAAGCAGAGCGTTAGAGCCGACCCTGGAATCTAAAGCTTTTTAACTGACTGGAATCCTCCAACGAGTCCGTAGATCTATAGAAGCAGAGCGTTAGAGCCGACCCTGGAATCTAAAGCTTTTTAACTGACTGGAATCCTCCAACGAGTCCGTAGATCTATAGAAGCAGAGCGTTAGAGCCGACCCTGGAATCTAAAGCTTTTTAACTGACTGGAATCCTCCAACGAGTCCGTAGATCTATAGAAGCAGAGCGTTAGAGCCGACCCTGGAATCTAAAGCTTTTTAACTGACTGGAATCCTCCAACGAGTCCGTAGATCTATAGAAGCAGAGCGTTAGAGCCGACCCTGGAATCTAAAGCTTTTTAACTGACTGGAATCCTCCAACGAGTCCGTAGATCTATAGAAGCAGAGCGTTAGAGCCGACCCTGGAATCTAAAGCTTTTTAACTGACTGGAATCCTCCAACGAGTCCGTAGATCTATAGAAGCAGAGCGTTAGAGCCGACCCTGGAATCTAAAGCTTTTTAACTGACTGGAATCCTCCAACGAGTCCGTAGATCTATAGAAGCAGAGCGTTAGAGCCGACCCTGGAATCTAAAGCTTTTTAACTGACTGGAATCCTCCAACGAGTCCGTAGATCTATAGAAGCAGAGCGTTAGAGCCGACCCTGGAATCTAAAGCTTTTTAACTGACTGGAATCCTCCAACGAGTCCGTAGATCTATAGAAGCAGAGCGTTAGAGCCGACCCTGGAATCTAAAGCTTTTTAACTGACTGGAATCCTCCAACGAGTCCGTAGATCTATAGAAGCAGAGCGTTAGAGCCGACCCTGGAATCTAAAGCTTTTTAACTGACTGGAATCCTCCAACGAGTCCGTAGATCTATAGAAGCAGAGCGTTAGAGCCGACCCTGGAATCTAAAGCTTTTTAACTGACTGGAATCCTCCAACGAGTCCGTAGATCTATAGAAGCAGAGCGTTAGAGCCGACCCTGGAATCTAAAGCTTTTTAACTGACTGGAATCCTCCAACGAGTCCGTAGATCTATAGAAGCAGAGCGTTAGAGCCGACCCTGGAATCTAAAGCTTTTTAACTGACTGGAATCCTCCAACGAGTCCGTAGATCTATAGAAGCAGAGCGTTAGAGCCGACCCTGGAATCTAAAGCTTTTTAACTGACTGGAATCCTCCAACGAGTCCGTAGATCTATAGAAGCAGAGCGTTAGAGCCGACCCTGGAATCTAAAGCTTTTTAACTGACTGGAATCCTCCAACGAGTCCGTAGATCTATAGAAGCAGAGCGTTAGAGCCGACCCTGGAATCTAAAGCTTTTTAACTGACTGGAATCCTCCAACGAGTCCGTAGATCTATAGAAACAGGTTTTGGGGAAATTATTTAATTAATGTAAGGAAAGCATTGAAAATAATGGAATGACCACCAGGTCCTAACATAGACCTCCTGATTATCACGCTGAGACCACCAGGTCCTAACATAGACCTCCTGATTATGATGCTGAGACCTGGAGGTCCTAACATAGACCTACCTGATTATCACGCTGAGACCTGCAGGTCCTAACATAGACCTCCTGATTATCACGCTGAGACCTCCAGATCCTAACATAGACCTCCTGATTATCACGCTGAGACCACCAGCTCCTAACATAGACCTCCTGATTATGATGCTGAGACCTGGAGGTCCTAACATAGACCTCCTGATTATCACGCTGAGACCTGCAGGTCCTAACATAGACCTCCTGATTATCACGCTGAGACCTCCAGATCCTAACATAGACCTCCAGATTATCACGCTGAGACCACCAGGTCCTAACATAGACCTCCTGATTATCACACTGAAACCTACAGGTCCTAACATAGACCTACCTGATTATCACGCTGAGACCTGCAGGTCCTAACATAGACCTCCTGATTATCACGCTGAGACCTGCAGGTCCTAACATAGACCTCCTGATTATCACGCTGAGACCACCAGGTCCTAACATAGACCTCCTGATTATGATGCTGAGACCTGGAGGTCCTAACATAGACCAACCTGATTATCACGCTGAGACCTGCAGGTCCTAACATAGACCTCCTGATTATCACGCTGAGACCTCCAGATCCTAACATAGACCTCCAGATTATCACGCTGAGACCACCAGGTCGTAACATAGACCTCCTGATTATCACACTGAAACCTACAGGTCCTAACATAGACCTACCTGATTATCACGCTGAGACCTGCAGGTCCTAACATAGACCTTCTGATTATCACGCTGAGACCACCAGGTCTTAACATAGACCTTCTGATTATCACAC